CAGAGCATGGGGGTGTGGCCGGCAGAGCCATATGCTAGGAAGAAGAAGGTCACACGCTTGCTATGGACGGAGTCTGTGCCCCTAATGTTTTAGGCAGTCTGAGTCCAGAGGCCTGGTGGGCTTTATCAGCCTGCTTTTTTTTTTTTACAGGTTTTTTTTTTTTTTTAATTTGAGAAAGATACACAGAGCAAGCAAGGGAGGGGCAAAGAGAGAAGGAGACAGAGTCCTAAGCAGGCTCCATGCTGTCAGCACAGAGCCTGATGTGGGGCTCGAACTCACAAACCGTGAGATCATGACCTGAGCCAAAACCAAGAGTTGGACACTTAACTGACTGTGCTGCCCAGGTTCCCCTACAATAATCTTATAACAGCGTAATTATTTCCATTTTACTGGTGCCAAAATGGGTGGAGAGGTTAGGTGGCTTGCTTGAGACCAAAGGGCTCTTAAGAACATAATGAAATCTAGAAACGCAGATTTGACAGTCTCCAAAATTTTTGCTCTTAGCCATAGTGCTAAACTGCCTCCCTGGACATTGCATGTGAAGGGTGTGCTTTCCAGGAGGTCTGTGAGTGCAGAGGGGTAAGCAGTAGCTAGAGTCTGAAAGGACATGGCAGGGGCCAGGGGCTGTGGGTCCTTAGCTCAGTTCTCTGCTCCGTGCTGTACGACAGCAGCTTGGTTTCCCAGGCCTGTTTCAGGGGGAGGGAGGTCAAGTCCCGTAGGTACCTGAACGTTCAGATTACAGCCAGAGTGTTGGACCTTCCTGGGACCTTTTCCTCCTTGCCTGTTTTCTGGGTGAGCACAGTCAAGGCAGTTAACCCTTTTGTGCCTCGGGTTCCTCATCTGTCAGATGACACTTGGCCTGCCGGCCTCATGGGGTTTTTGAGAGGAATGAGGAGGGTCATGGATATGGAAATGGTTGAAAAAGCATGAAGCAATACCCAACTCAAGATGGTAGGGTGATCCTGGATCGTATGACTATTGAGGGTCCAGTATGGACCCCCGAGACCTCCAGAGCTCATGCTGGTGATGCCCATTGTCAAACCTTTTCTAGCTATTCCAGCATGATCTGCAGAGCCACGTGGAACCTCATCTCTTTTTCTGGGATTTTCACATCCGCCTGTGAACATAAAATAGTACTTGGGCATCATCTGGGTCCGTGGGCAGTTTTCCTTCTGCGTGGGTTTTTCTTTCTTTCTTTGTTTAAAGTTTATTTATTTATTTTGAGAGAGAGAGAAAGCGTGAATGGGGGAGGGACAGAGAGAGAAGGAGAGAGAGAGAGAATCCCAA